CTAATTGGAATAGATAAGATGTAACATATCCAATAGCCATTCACTTTAACCCCTTCTTGCTCAATGACTACAAATGACAGATTTCGTTCTCTAAAGCAACACATGAAAATATTAACGTATACATGTTTCGATGGTTTACTGTTTCGAAGTTGTTTATCTGTTCGCGTTTTTTAGTAATATAGCATTATGTGCAAATACCATACAAAAAGTGTCCATACCACAAAAGTTAAAAGTTAAGTTGCCGGAATGTTAACGGTCAAATCAGGTACATCTAGCAGGGTTAATTCACATAGCTCAACAATCTTATCATTTGAGTTTTAAATTTCTTTATTAGTTTCTAAATGTATTGGAAAGTTGTTAACAAATGGCTCTTAGTTTATCGTTGACCGCTGCTAGTGATTGGGAGACCTAGTTATTTGCTCACTTTACATTTGAAAATGGGTGGCTGCTGTAGTAAGTTATTTAATTGCCTATCTAATTGTTTTAAGATTAATAGATCTTAACTTTGAGGTACACGAAAATCCGTCGATCTACCGCCTGTGCCAGCACCAACCGGTAATCCCTACCTTCAAGACTACCCTAACGCTGGTAAAAGTGTTACTGAGAACACGGGGCAAAATGTTGGCAAAACAAACATGGCATTGGAAACGGATTAATAATAGCAAAAATATTTTTTAAATATAGATCTTACACCTAGGTAGTACATGCAGACATACATATGCTTGTAATTGTAAAATTTTTTTGTTAAGCATTTCAAATGCAGTTCAACTCTGTTAAACAACGCCACAGAAGCAGAAGAAAATTTGCTTGGCATATATCTTTTATCAAGAAATACCTACACTCTTATCAAAATTTATTAATGAGTACTACGTATGTATGTATGCATATCTAAACCTTTATGTGTTTGAACATTTTTATATGCGTGAGTAATATATATTGTTAAACTGGTTAACCTTTTGTTGCAATGGCGATATTTCCAAATACATATATGTAAGTATGTATGAAATAATTTTATCATAAGAGCTTTCGATTTCGTTTTCTTAAGGGAACATAAGGAATCTTCTCACCGAGCATGATACTTGGTAGATCGGTGCTCGATAGTTTTTCTCAAAAGTGTATTTTAGTGAAGTTATCTTTTTATTGGTTTTCCGTCTACCAAGGAAAATTAAAATGATGCTCGGCGGTTTGAAAAATAATTTTTTTTTTGATTTTTTGGACCTCATGTTGAAGTTTGATTAAATCGCTTGTGTTGTGTATGGCATAATCGCTTCAATTGCATAAAAATTTTAACAGAGAGGAGAGAAAAATTGAAGAAGACCAAACTTTTTTACTTTCCTGTACAACCCGGACGGGATCCGGTCATTAGAGAATAAGCGAAAAATTTGCTCTTAAAACTTGAGCAATGTCCAGAAGTACGGGAGCGCAAAAAACTAGATTTCATGCCCAAAATTTGAGGAATGAGTGAGTGGTTTTTGTTATCGAGACTCAAATGCGCCCCAAAACCGTCTTGTTAAATACACCTTGACAAAATAAAGGCGATTTTCGATTCAACACGAATTGTTGTTTATATAATTGAAAATGAATTTAAATCGCAAAATTTTATCAATTGGCGTAAATTTGGTAAGCCAAGCGTTGGTAGAAGTATCCGTATTCTGCACTTCTTTCAGGTCGATTTTTGTCGTCTAAGATATCGACTAACCAAAGCATTTGCATTTTACGATCGAATTGCCTTTCACATGGGTCGATTTTGGTTGAATGACAAAATTCGCCTAGAAAATTGACCCGTGTAAAATCAGCTTAAGAAATCTACAAGCCAAAGCTTTTGCATCTTAGGGCTCTGTCACACGGTCAGTATTTATTGACGTGATGCAAATATCGCGATATTTATTGCCGGTGTAGCATGCCGTATTGATGGATCGATCAATAAATACTAACCGAGTGACAGAGCCCTAAAAATTTTGAAATCTGGATCGCGGATCGCAATACCGTCAATAAATATTGAGCGTGTAGCACTCAAAACGCCATCCATACATTTCATCAGTACATCTTGTACTCTCATAATGCGAACATCGAAAACGTATTGGCTCTGCCTTCACTCTCGGTGCTTAAAACCTTTCAAAACAAATAGAAAAAATTTTAATTAACATTGGAAATTTTAAAATAATTGTGAAATGCATTATCTGTAAATTATACGTACAAAATAAAAATATTTTCTTGCGTCATAATAAGCGTTCACCACAAAACTTATCCAAATACTGACGCGATAAATATTGAACATGTAGCATTCGTGCGCGATCCATCAATCCATCAATATGGATCGCGATCCAAATATCGTGATAATTACTGACCGTGTGACAGGGCCCATAGGATGAATTGTATGAAAATGCACGAAGCATGTCACATAGATCGTAATATAATGGCTGCATTTCTTTATTCATTCTGAACGTTTGGAATAAACTTTTTTGTTTACTTATTCTTTAGAACGTTGCTGATGATATGTCAACGTATATTTCAAACGCATTCTGTTTATTCCGGCTGTGAAATGGGATTATCCGGAATGCATAAAGAAACGCAGCCAATATAATAAAATTTAATTACATTGCTTATAATTTCAAAATTAATGGCCTTATTCAAATAAAATAAAATAGATTTATACAGCTTTACAAATGTATAAATTGATATATTTTTCCATTTATAAACCTTTTATAAATCTACTTTATTTTTTATAAAAAAGTCCATAAATATATAAAATCCACAGCAATTTTGGCTAGTAAAAAAGCAGTACAAAATTGTTTTATTTCCATAATCGCATCCATTGTGGCATACCTTTTGTATCTGACGCTTTGCTGGCAAAGTTGTAAATTTCACACAAACCACGAAGTTTTATCTGGTATCAGCTTTATTATGCATATAGCTTAATTTTAGATGCGCATTGAACACTGCCACCTTATACATTCTTATTGGATTCCGAAAGTTTTAAAAAATCTCGTCGATTTTTCTTAATAATAATATAAAGTAATATTATTAAGTTTAAATAATTAGCGAATGATTATATTGCAAAACTTGTATTAATCCGTATTTAGAGTTAACTTCAGAATTATTGAATAAGCTTGAAAACATTGCCTGCCTGCCAAGAACGATAGAATACAAGATTGCGCATTCCCGCAGAATGACATTTGTGGCAACGGGTAAACAAAGAATAGGGCACATAGGATGAATTGTATGAAAATGCACGAAGCATGTCACATAGATCGTAATATAATATAATAAAATTTAATTACATTGCTTATAATTTCAAAATTAATGGCCTTATTCAAATAAAATAAAATAGATTTATACAGCTTTACAAATGTATAAATTGATATATTTTTCCATTTATAAACCTTTTATAACTCTACTTTATTTTTTATAAAAAAGTCCATAAATATATAAAATCCACAGCAATTTTGGCTAGTAAAAAAGCAGTACAAAATTGTTTTATTGGCATCCATTGTGGCATACCTTTTGTATCTGACGCTTTGCTGGCAAAGTTGTAAATTTCACGCAAACCACGAAGTTTTATCTGGTATCAGCTTTATTATGCATATAGCTTAATTTTAGATGCGCATTGAACACTGCCACCTTATACATTCTTATTGGATTCCGAAAGTTTTAAAAAATCTCGTCGATTTTTCTTAATAATAATATAAAGTAATATTATTAAGTTTAAATAATTAGCGAATGATTATATTGCAAAACTTGTATTAATCCGTATTTAGAGTTAACTTCAGAATTATTGAATAAGCTTGAAAACATTGCCTGCCTGCCAAGAACGATAGAATACAAGATTGCGCATTCCCGCAGAATGACATTTGTGGCAACGGGTAAACAAAGAATAGGGCACATAGGATGAATTGTATGAAAATGCACGAAGCATGTCACATAGATCGTAATATAATATAATAAAATTTAATTACATTGCTTATAATTTCAAAATTAATGGCCTTATTCAAATAAAATAAAATAGATTTATACAGCTTTACAAATGTATAAATTGATATATTTTTCCATTTATAAACCTTTTATAACTCTACTTTATTTTTTATAAAAAAGTCCATAAATATATAAAATCCACAGCAATTTTGGCTAGTAAAAAAGCAGTACAAAATTGTTTTATTGGCATCCATTGTGGCATACCTTTTGTATCTGACGCTTTGCTGGCAAAGTTGTAAATTTCACGCAAACCACGAAGTTTTATCTGGTATCAGCTTTATTATGCATATAGCTTAATTTTAGATGCGCATTGAACACTGCCACCTTATACATTCTTATTGGATTCCGAAAGTTTTAAAAAATCTCGTCGATTTTTCTTAATAATAATATAAAGTAATATTATTAAGTTTAAATAATTAGCGAATGATTATATTGCAAAACTTGTATTAATCCGTATTTAGAGTTAACTTCAGAATTATTGAATAAGCTTGAAAACATTGCCTGCCTGCCAAGAACGATAGAATACAAGATTGCGCATTCCCGCAGAATGACATTTGTGGCAACGGGTAAACAAAGAATAGGGCACATAGGATGAATTGTATGAAAATGCACGAAGCATGTCACATAGATCGTAATATAATATAATAAAATTTAATTACATTGCTTATAATTTCAAAATTAATGGCCTTATTCAAATAAAATAAAATAGATTTATAGAGCTTTACAAATGTATAAATTGATATATTTTTCCATTTATAAACCTTTTATAACTCTACTTTATTTTTTATAAAAAAGTCCATAAATATATAAAATCCACAGCAATTTTGGCTAGTAAAAAAGCAGTACAAAATTGTTTTATTGGCATCCATTGTGGCATACCTTTTGTATCTGACGCTTTGCTGGCAAAGTTGTAAATTTCACGCAAACCACGAAGTTTTATCTGGCATCAGCTTTATTATGCATATAGCTTAATTTTAGATGCGCATTGAACACTGCCACCTTATACATTCTTATTGGACTCCGAAAGTTTTAAAAAATCTCGTCGATTTTTCTTAATAATAATATAAAGTAATATTATTAAGTTTAAATAATTAGCGAATGATTATATTTTAAAAGTTGTATTAATCAGTATTTAGAGTTAACTTCAGAATTATTGAATAAGCTTGAAAACATTGCCTGCCGTGCCTATATTTGCACTAATAAATCGAACTCATTACCGGCAGGTATTGCCAGTTGCTTGTGCAATTTATTTGTGGTCGGACGTGTATTCCAGCGACTTATTGCTTTTTTGTCATACAAGATTATACCTTTATAATAATGGCTGGTAAGTAGATCGAGTCCAAAATCATATTAAAACATTACATAACTGAGGTTAATAAGATTTTCATAATTAAAATCTTATCATAGATGCAGGTGTCAATCCTTTTGCGCAGTTTCAGAAGTCGTTTGCATTAAATGGAATCACATATAAATACTTCGATCTAGCTTCAATTGATCAAAAATACAGTGAGTACCTTCACTTCACGTTAGAGATTTCAAAGTAATCCAAGAAACTTGTATGCATATATACGTACATATGCATGCACATGCATAGTACGTACCCCCAATTTCAGGTTTTTTAAGTATGTACATATATGCTAATTTGTATGTCAACGGCCTGTATTTAAAATGACATAGTCGGAATGCACCTTTGTACCGCATAAGCAAACATAGCTGGAAAATAGATATCGACTCTTCTTTCTCACTTTCAAATCGGCATATTACAACGCTTTTATAATTTTAACATAAATACGTTAGCATATAATACATAATAATTCTATGTAGTGTGTTTGTATGGGCATACATATGGGAATCATCTCATAATAATTGGTAGTGATAAGCTGATTGAATGCAATCATGCTTCTAAAGGTCTAGTGGGGTAGTTGTGTATAAAAAAATAAGTACATAGGCTAAACACGCCACTTTTAAAGTTGCTATCGCGCTGACAAGCCAAAAAGAAAAAAGACTACATTCATTTATATGTATGTATGTATTTTATAATCTTCTCTGATAAAAAGACTGCAAGTATGCCAATAACAATACTAAATGCTGCATATATTTTGAACTAGTGCTGTCAAAATATGCAGAAAATTGTGATCCCCGGAATTTCGGGATATTTTTCAAATAATACCGGGATCCCGGGATACACATTGACACGTAACTTTTATGAAATTGAGTCAAAATTTAATTTCTGAAAGCATTTAAACATACCATGAAATTATACTACCAAAAATTTACGACAAACTGATTGTAAAATTCACATATTTATTAATACAGGCAAATCTTTACGTAATCCATTGTTTAAATTGTAATTAAAACACCATCTGATTGAGGTACGCATAAATCACAAATAACAATGTTAATACAAAGGCGAATTAAAATTAGTTGGGGTGTACAAGTACTTATTATCAATTCGATATTTTAAATTTTTCGGGATGCCGGGATTCGCTTGCATTAATTTTCGGCACCTCGAAAATACCGGGATCGCCGGGATTGGCATATCTAGTGTAAACATGTTACCTTTGTACAAAAAAAAATATAAATAAATATATATAAGGGATATAAAGAAATGTATCACATATTCTATTTATTATTTTTAAATCTTTCTCTTAAAAGACTTACGTACTGTAAATTTATTATATTTCCTATTTATACTGAAATTCATCAGATCAGTTGCCATACTCTATTCGTGTACTCTTGGAATCGGCAGTCAGAAACTGTGATAATTTCTACGTGCTCGAGAAAGATGTGCAAAATATTTTGGCTTGGACACCTGAACTAAAGCAGGGGCACAATGATGTGGAGGTTTCTTTCAAACCCGCTCGTGTTATACTCCAGGTAAAATACGTTTTTTTTTACTCACATTCTCAAGTATATATGCACATACGCGTGAATTTATTAGGATTTTACTGGTGTGCCTGCTGTCGTCGACTTTGCAGCAATGCGCGATGCAGTTTTAAAACTTGGTGGCGATCCTCAAAAAATTAATCCCATTTGCCCAGCTGACTTAGTAATTGATCACTCGGTACAAGTGGATTTCACCAGGAGGTGTGTATATTAGATTTTATCTTTACTTATCATCGTAAAATGCAAGCTACTTACAGTCCTGATGCCGTAACAAAGAACCAAAATTTAGAATTTGAACGTAACCAGGAGCGTTTTACATTCCTAAAGGTATGTAAATATATAAAACTTTGTTAATTTTATTTTTTATTTTTTATTATTTTTTATGTTCTTTATTATTAGTGGGGTGCACGAGCTTTCAATAATATGTTGATTGTTCCACCTGGTTCTGGTATTGTGCATCAGGTGAATTTGGAATACCTCGGACGTGTGGTATTCGAAGAAGGCATTGGTAATACCAAATTGCTTTATCCAGACAGCGTTGTCGGAACGGACTCTCATACACCGATGATAAACGGGTTGGGTGTACTTGGCTGGGGAGTTGGGGGTAAGCTTTTCAAAATTTTTAATTAAAAGCCCAAAAAAGTCGCTAAGTATACACCCATTAAAGGAATCGAAGCAGAGGCTGTTATGCTGGGTCAATCGATTTCCATGTTGCTCCCGGAAGTGGTTGGTTACAAACTCGTTGGCAAATTAGGGCCACTTGTTACATCCACTGATTTAGTATTGACAATTACAAAAAATCTCCGACAAGTTGGTGTAGTTGGAAAATTCGTCGAATTTTATGGTCCTGGTGTAGCAGAGTTAAGTATTGCAGATCGTGCTACTATTGGTAATATGTCTCCAGAAAATGGAGCAACTGTAAGCTTCTTTCCAATCGACGAAAATACTTTGGCTTACTTGAGACAAACCAGTACGTAAAGTTTAAAAAAGGACTAACTTTCGAAGTCATAAATAATATCATTTCTATTTGCAGATCGGTCAGAAGAAAAGATAGAAGTTATTCGACAATATCTAAAAGAGACAGGACAATTGCGGGATTACTCCGATGCCTCACAAGACCCCAACTACTCACAAACTCTAACTCTTGACCTATCGACGGTTGTAACATCGGTTTCTGGCCCAAAACGGCCACATGACCGCGTTGCAGTGACAGATATGAAGGGAGATTTCCAAGCATGCCTTATAAATCCTGTAAGTTTTAAATGCAACCAACACAAGATATACAAAGAAAGTTCCATGTCTATTATATACTATGTGTGCTAAAATTGATTTTATGCATGCCTTAACTGGTCTCTAATATAAGATAATTAGGAATATTAGAGGGATTCTCGAAGTATTGCAGAACTTTTGCATGATACACGGATTCCACAGTAAAATTGGGTTTCCTATGGAAAAGCTTTGCAAACCATGCGCCGCACAAGGACCTTTCAAGGCTTCGAGAATCCCTCTATTTCCTCAAAAAAATGGCTAAGAAGGGCTTTTAGTAAGAATTTTTGCTTATAATATCGAAGCAGGTTAAACAGCGAACATCTTTTTCCATACCATAAATTTGTTAGATGAGATGGTATTCTATCTGTAAATTTGCAGGTCGGTTTCAAGGGATTTGCAATCGCACCAGATGCTTTATCCGCTTCTGGTCAATTCCAATGGGATGATGCCAAATCCTACACCATTCGTCATGGATCTGTTGTGATCGCCGCAATAACATCTTGTACAAATACTTCCAACCCATCAGTGATGTTAGGAGCTGGTCTCCTAGCCAAAAAAGCAGTGGAGAAGGGTCTCTCGGTAATGCCTTATATAAAAACTTCATTGTCACCTGGATCAGGTGTCGTAACTTATTATCTTCAAGAATCTGGTGTTGTTCCCTACTTACAAAAACTTGGTTTCGATATTGTCGGCTACGGCTGTATGACATGTATCGGTAACTCAGGACCATTAGACGACAATGTGGTAAATACAATTGAAAAGAACGGTTTGGTATGCTGTGGCGTATTGTCGGGCAACCGAAACTTTGAGGGCCGTATTCATCCGAATACGCGCGCTAACTACCTGGCCAGTCCCCTGCTTGTGATTGCTTATGCTATAGCTGGGCGCGTGGACATAGACTTCGAAACTGAGCCGTTAGGCGCAGGTCCAAATGGCGAAACGGTGTTTCTGCGCGATATTTGGCCAACCCGTAATGAAATTCAGGAAGTGGAGAGCAAACACGTCATTCCCGCTATGTTTAAGGAAGTATACAGTAAAATAACATTGGGCTCTGAGGACTGGCAGAGGATTGAGGTGGCAGAAAGCAAATTGTATCCTTGGAATAGTGAGTCCACATACATTAAGCACCCTCCATTCTTCGAAGGTATGACACGCGAACTACCGCCACTAAAGAGCATAAAAAATGCGCGATGCTTGCTGTTTTTGGGCGATTCAGTTACAACTGATCACATATCACCGGCCGGCTCTATTGCCAGAAATTCGCCAGCTGCTCGTTATCTATCCGAACGTGGCTTGACTCCACGCGACTTCAATTCCTATGGCTCAAGACGTGGCAATGATGCTGTAATGGCTCGTGGTACTTTCGCTAACATTCGATTGGTTAATAAACTGGTGAGCAAGCCTGGTCCACGCACTATTCATGCGCCAACTAACGAGGAAATGGATGTGTTCGATTGTGCTGATCGGTGAGTCAAATTTAGAGTTATTATTCTAGAATATCAACATATGTATGTATATGTATGCATTAATTATATATATTTGCTTTGTTTAGCTATCGCGAAGATGGCACACCTCTAGTGCTGATAGCAGGCAAGGATTACGGTAGTGGTTCCAGTCGCGACTGGGCTGCTAAAGGACCATTGCTATTGGGTATCAAGGCAGTTATAGCTGAGTCATACGAGCGTATCCATCGCTCTAACTTAGTTGGCATGGGTATGATACCTTTGCAATTTTTGCCAGGCCAAAACGCAGATTCTCTCAATCTAAACGGACGTGAAGTGTATAATATTTCAATACCAGACACCGGACTGAAGCCTGGACAGAAGATTCAAGTAGAGGTTTGTAGCTGCTTTAACTCTTCTAACAGTTCACTCTTATAATGCATTATTTATTTTTGTAAATTTAGGCAAATGGCACTGTTTTCGAAACAATTTTACGTTTCGATACTGAAGTCGACATAACCTACTACAAAAACGGAGGTATACTTAATTATATGATTCGAAAAATGTTTGCTTAGAGGATTAAAAATTGAGTGTTAGACTCAAGTGCAACTTGTAGTCTGAAAGACATTTCGTAAAATTGTTATAAATGGTTTTTAATTTACAGTTCTATATAGATTACAAAGTAATATAGCATTATGGTTGAAAAGGGTAAATATGCGTTATTTTAAACAAAATATATGAAATATGTTAAACATATAAACACGTTCAAAGAGGCATTTTCACTATCAGATTACGGAAGTTCATTACATAATGAGGTGACATGTTCTAGTAATGATTCAGTGATATCGAGCGATAAGCATGATAAGCAAAACCGCGTATCACCATAATGCAAAACCGCGTATGTGAGGTTGCATAAATTATTTTCTAGAAAGTAAAAAGACTCACATTTCAAAATGGTTCTCTTGTTTTATAAAGCAATCACATTTGTGGCTAGTATAAGGACGATTGGATAAGGAGCAAATCCAATTTTAGGTAGCAAATGTCAGTAACGCGGTTTTGCAGAATAACGATACGCGGTTTTGTACTTTAAATGACGACGTGTACATATGTATATGTTTTTCATATGGAACGTCGTTGTTGTTGTTGTTGTTGTTGTAGCGGCTACAACAACCCCGCCCAGATCGGATGATATCTCAGTCGTTGTCGTCGAGTTCCACTAACGGCAGCCCCAAGAAGCGTGCAGCCTCTTAGATCATAGTACTATGAATATATGAAGCATAAGATGGAACGTCGTCTTCGCTGCCGCTTATTTCCCGGGAGGCAATAGAACATTCCCCTGATGGGGGTACAGAAGCTTACAGACCACTGCCGAAAGAAGGGACTGCATCTAGTCATGGGTTGCGATGCAGCGCATCATGAGGAGTGGGGTAGCTCGGATACCAACAGCAGGGGCCATTGCAGATTGAGAAGTCACCTACACAAACTCGGGATCTGGTCCACTGATTCATGCCGTTTCTTTGGACCGCTGAAACTTCTGAGCACATAATCCTCGAATGCGACGCAGTGGAGAGGAGACGAGAAATATACCGACGGTGAATAACCCCAAAATACTCAGGGTAACCTTCGACAGTCTGCTCTCCTTCTCGGCGCATACAACCGCATTTGTCAACAAAGTACAAAACCGCAACAAGGTCCTCAAGTCGCTAGCCGGCAGCGCCTGGGGCAAAGACAAAGAAACGTTGCTGGCAACGTATAAGGAAATTGGACGGCCCGTTCAGACCTATGCAGCGGTCGTGTGGTCACCGGGGACTAGTAGGACGCACTGGATGAAGCTGCGGAGTTGCCGGAACACGGACAGCACGACAAGGCCCATACACTTCCCGTTAAGGAGCATAACACAATGCTCTGCAGCAGTTTGCAGTTGGGAGCCAAAGACGTGGTCACCCAAACAGACAACTGCTTGCAGAAGAGCCCTAGCCCAGGCATGTCAGGATGTTCATCAAATAACCTGTGGACCCGATAGCTTATCGACAGGCCTTAAACGGCGTTCACAAACTTTCGATCTGTGAATGCCGTTCTGCGCATACAACCACCATACGTGGACGAGATAGAACTTCGTCTGCCTCGGGAGACTCGGACCACAATAGCCCAACTGCGCTCTGGTTACTGTAGCAGGTTGAACTCATACCTGAGCCGAATAAACCAAGATGCTCTAAACGAATACCTGGCATGTGGACTTCATGACTCACATCATCTCTTCGCATGCCTACTGAAACACACCCTACTGACGCCCCTGTCCCTATGGACAGACTCCGTCGAGGCTGCACGCTTCCTGGGGCTACCGCCAGTAAAGCTTGACGACAACGATTGAGGGACTAACCGATCTGGGCGGGGTTGTTGTAGCCGCTACAACAACAACATAACCAAGGCTCGAATTGTCACATTCGATATCATCACGTTATCTATATCAGATAACAAAAAAAAAAAGTTTCTAAGTTTCCACAAAGTTCACAAAAACTAACTAAACTTAAAACATTTCGATTTTTTAATTAGATTTCTTAGAAATATTTAGAGTATGCAGTTTTATTGCCCATATAACGCATGAACAAAACTTACTTTTATATGGAAGAAAATGTGCAACACCCTCCACAAAAAAAATCTAAAAAATCGACTTGAAACTTGCACTTTTTTATACTAAAATTGAATGGGTTATAAAACTGCATTCTGGAAATCTTTTTTTAAATTTTTTTTAACTTTGATTAGGTTTTAAGAACTTTGTGCAAGCTTTGAAACTTTTATTTTCATATGTGGTATCTGATATAGATCGACCCATATTTTAAATGAAAATTATTAACAGTAAATAAATAAAGACAATAGCATCATTTTTTTTTTTAAATATGGGTCGATCTGTATCAGAAACCGCATAAATAAAAGTTTGGTAGCTTGCACAAAGATCACACAAATTATTTAAACTTGAACAATTTTCATCGAAATTTCGATTTTTTAAATTAGATTTCTATGAAAGATTTTGAGTATGCAATTTTGTAGCCCATTCAATTTCAGTAGTAAAGTGCTAGTTTGAAGTCGCTAAAAAATACCGTTATTGCTTAGAATTTTTTTTGAGGGTGGGGGCATTTTCGTTCATACAACGCATGAACTAAATTTATTTTTATATCGTACTAAAATTTATTTATTTTTATTGAAACATTTGGTCTAACGTTTTCACCACAATTCACGTTGAAGTTTGATTTTGTGGTCGACAGAAAGCTCATCCTCTATTGCCGTCTTAAATAACCTAACGAAATCCTTATGTCCGTGAAGAAGTTCTTCCGACAACAATGATCCGGTACGATGATGAATCGTCCTTGAATCTGTATCTGGCAATTTCAAAGTGGGTGAGTATCATTGGTCCACAGAAGTCCAATATACATACGACTTATTTCAGACGAAATACCATAAATGTCTTACAATTTTATTTGTAGGCATTCATCAAAAATTGTCTCTATTCTGTATAGTCGCCGTAAATCAAAGACCGCAATGATTATGGTGGTAGATTTAATGGTGGTAATTTGACTTTGATGCCTGGTGTATCCGAATGACTTCACTTGACGATTTTTAACAATAACTCGACGCCAGCGCCACCTTGCGGATCATTTAGCAATAGTACTGACCCTACCGTTACCAATATTTAAGTCGATTATGAGGCAAATCGGATCAAAAATGCGATTTTTAGTAATAATTCGACTCTAGAGCTACTGTCGAGCAATTTTTTTTT